TCTTTTCCTTAACAGCATCACTTTGAACACATGATTTATGATACTCCAGACCATTTATTCCGGTACATTATTAATGTATGAGACAATCTTTTATGTTAAAGTGGTTGTAAACCCTTACATATATCCAGTAAAGTGACTGGCCTCAGGTGATACATGGAGATGAAACAAATCCTTCTATATAAGTTGTACCTGTTTACCTGCATCTTCTCTACATCCATTCACAGTCCAGAATTATTAAAGCTTGTCTGAGCTGTCAGAAAACAGAGGGTGGAGAGCTGAAGTTACACACTGCAGAGCTCAGTCAGGAGAGCTCTGAGAGTTGATTGGAGAGAAGGGACACCCCCCTCCCCTTCACACAGCACGCAGGAACAGAATTGAGGCTGTGAATCTGCTGAAGATCCCGCTCTGTCACCTTTTTTCTCTTGGTGTCAGAAAAACCTGTCAGAAGTGACTCATGAAGATATAGGAGGAATGGGGCAGCAGACAGAAAGGACATTAAAGATGCTTAAATGCAGTGCACAGAAAGTTGTTTTGGAGTTCCCTTCCGAAACTATAGAGTTGCACTACAGTCCAAGGTTAAAACATGTTTATTAAATGATGTATAAAACCAGCAGTGCAATCAGATGAATAATAGTGAGCACTGTAACTCATAACATGTTCCCAGTCAACTGATCTAACAACTGTTAAAAACTCATGACTCCTGGTGTGAAGTAGGAGATGGCAGATGGCAATAGCAAACTACACATACCAATCCATACAGCTGTGCATTGGGAAACTGCCAGTTGGAAACACCACTAGTTCATCTGATTGCAGTGCTGTTTTTTCATACATCATTTAATAAACAGGTTTTAACCTTGACTTGTACTGGAGACTGTTCCTGTGATGCAACTCCATAGTTTTGGATGGGCTACCCACAGTAACTTTCAGTGCGCTGTACTTCAGCTTTTCTCTATGTTCTGCATATACTCCAGTAGATTGTGGGCAACAGATGTTTTGTGGTCATTTCCCACCTACAGATATACTATATTGCCAAAAGTATTGGGACCCCTGCCTTTACACGTACATGAACTTTAATGGCATCCCAGTCTTAGTCTGTAGGGTTCAATATTGAGTTGACCCACTCTTTGCAGCTATAACAGCTTCAGCTCTTCTGGGAAGGCTATCCACAAGGTTTAGGAGTGTGTCTATGGGAATGTTTGACCATTCTTCTAGAAGCACATTTGTGAGGTCAGGCACTGGTTTCGGACTTGAAGGCCTGGCTCCCAGTCTTCGCTCTAATTCATCCCAAAGGTGTTCTATCGGGTTGAGGTCAGGACTCTTTGCAGGCCAGTCAAGTTCCTCCACCCCAAACTCGCTCATCCATGTCTTTATGGACCTTGCTTTGTGCACTGGTGTGCAGTCATGTTGGGACAGGAAGGGGCCATCTCCAAACTGTTCCCACCAAGTTGGAAACATGAAATTGTCTAAAATGTCTTGGTATGCTCTCCATGGATATGCCTCCCCAGACCATCACTTACTGGCCACCAAAATGGTCATGCTGAATGGTGTTACAGGCAGCATAACATTCTCTACGGCTTCTCCAGACCCTTTCACATCTGTCACATGTACTCAGGGTGAACCTGCTCTCATCTGTGAAAAGCACAAGGTGCTAGTGGCAGGCCTGCCAATTCTGCTGTTCAATGGCAAATGCCACTCTAGCTCTACGGTGCCTGGAGGTGAGCACAGGGCCCAATAGAGGATGTCAGGCCCCCAGGTCACCGTCATGAAGTCTGTTTCTGATTGTTTGGCCAGAGACATTCACATCAGTGGCCTGCTGGAGGTTATTTTGTAGGGCTCTGGTAGTTCTCATCCTGTCCTTCCTTGCATAAAGGAGCAGATACCGTAGCTGCTGGTGGGTTAAGGACCTTCTATGGCCCTGGCCAGCTTTCCTAGAATGACTGTCTGTCTCTTGGAATCTCCTCCATGCTCTTGAGAGTGTGCTGGGAGACACAGCAAACCTTCTGGCAATAGCATGTATTGATGTGCCATCCTGGAGGAGTTGGATTGCCTGTGCAATCTCTGTATGGTCCAGGTATCGCCTCATGCTACCAGTAGTGATACTGACCCTAGCCAAATGCAAAACTAGTGAAAAACAGTCAGAAAAGATGAGTAGGGAAAATATTGTCAGTGGCCTCCACCTGTAAACCCATTCCTGTTTTGAGTGTCATCTCATTGTTGCCCATCTAGTGCACCTGTTTTTTAATTTAATTAACACTAAAGCAGCTGAAACTTATTAATAACCCCCTATGCTACTTAACTGACCAGATCAATATCCCAGGAGTTTAATTGACTTTTTGCTATTAAAAAGTGTTCCTTTAATTTTTTGAGCAGTGTATTAGCTGCAGTTGACTTTAATGTGTTAAATCTGCTAGTACATCTAACACTCCCCTCCCCCCAGACTGACAATTCTGCTATCTAAATGTGCCCCCTGTGCTCCTTCATCCAGACTGGGGGTACTCTAATACAGGATATGTGCTACTGGGCAGGTCACCAGGTGAAAACAGAGGGGAACAAGCCTAAAAAAAAAGAGAAAATAATGTAGCCACCAAGCTGCAATATATTATATTTTTGGTTTTAGGTGTAATTCTGGTTTAAATGTATTACCCCATTAAAAGGGATTTGTAATTCTTTTCAGACAGTCCTGAGATTCACATTCAAATAGCCTAACAAATCCTGGTTGAGTTTTTTCCAGTGTCACTTTCCGTTTCCAGTTTGCTCACTGGACATGAATCAATAGCATCTATTTTGTGCAATGAGCAGGCATATGATCTAAGAAGCTGCAAAGCTGAACCAAGCATAGGTGATTAATTCACATGACTGACTAAAAATAAGATACAAATCCTTTGGAACTAAAAAGAACTACATGTATTATTTATGTTTAAAATAGTAATAAACCTAAAGATAAATATTTGTTATATTGCAGCTTACCAATTCTTAGATGTAATGGCTGCATTTCTTTTCTTTTCACCTGGTGATCCTGCCAGTAAATCTGTTGTTTTTTTGAGAACACGCTGTCCTGCAGATGTAGTAGTAGTAGTTAATTGGGAAAAACCATTTAACACTGAGAGGAGTGCTTACAATGATGAGCTTTCATTTATTTCAGTAAAACCTTTATTCCAAAAGGTAAAAACTGTGGCTGTAACTGTTTATAATATGTTAGCTGGAGTTTGGAGTTAGTGAATCTAACTCCCCTCCCTCCTGATTGACAATACTGCTGTCATAAGGTGTCTATGTTACTCTTACATCCAGCAGAGGAATGAGACAGCAGATAGAAGTGACACCTAGTGCTCTGGATAGAGACAAGTACACACAATAGAGGGATAGTGTGCACTTTACCCCCTTGCCGACCAGTAGTTTTTTAGAAGTAAAGCTTTTACTGCTGGCCGGAAACAATGTACCCACAAAAAGTTCATATTTACTATATCGTAGACAGCACCTAGTAATGCTATTTGTGCCTAAGCAGTACCCTGAAATGTTTTACCCTTTGTCTTGAATTCCTCCTGAAAAAATTGTACTTTCTGTTCCTTGAGCCTCGTTGTGTATTTGCAGTGTGAGATCTAAGGCACTGCTGCCTCTGACTGCTAGTTTCACATAGTTTGGAGTTAGATTTGGTGATGTCACTACTATGCTGCTCGCTATTCTCCATGCTGGAGAGACAGCTATACCTAAGGATCTGCACTGCAAGGACCTCCCTGCTTCTGCTTTATCCATCTCACCTACAGATATGCACTTTTTCCTGCTGCTTCTTGAATATTCTTTCAGCAGTCATCAGGGTGGCAGCTCTGACATAAGAAACAAAGTTCTGCCTTTAGCAGGATGGCTACCTCCACTCAGAGACACAGTGTGGATCATGGCAGAGTACATTAGTAATGAGGAAAGGTTGTAGGGAGACTATACTGGTGATTACTCATTTGCCCTCTGCTTGCCTTTTTTGTTGGCACAGCTTCCACAGTTCAGGTAATCTTTAATCTTGTGTTTCTTTGCAACAAACTGAAATCAATGTGTGTTATTAAATAAGGTATTTGCCAACAAGAAGTTATATAATTCAGCAGCATGTAAAAAAGATCATCTTTGTAGTATTATTCACATAATATTTGTCTCTATACTCTACCTTTTAGCATTTGTAGGAATATCAGGTCAGAGAAAGGAAAGTCAGTGACTTTCTGTTGCCCCCTACCATCTGCAATCTGGGCTAGTGAGTCCCCCTGGCACCAGGATATTTCTGTGATTTCTTTCTTGGCAACTTTTAAGCAGCTGCAACCTCTAAGCTCTTTTATACTGTCAGCGTATGACTTCAGTGAATGTTTTTTAATTTAATAAATTCTAGCTCACATTTTTACTGTTTTTCTTCTCCTCTTGCATTATGGTTAGTTTGATATTAAGCAGTGATGTCTCTTGTTTAGTATGGAAATGAACGTCTTAAATGTGCAGTCTTACATAAGTAACTGCCTCTTAAGATACACCTGCAGACCATATAAAAGAGCATTTTAAATGAAGCAGCGAGGGCTTTACTTTTTAATTTAATTGAACTACAACTGCCAACACATGCAAAGCTTAGTGCCATAAAAATAAAATGTGTCAAAAAATCCGACATAGCTCTGCGTTGCATTCCAATTTCAGCATAACCTGGACTTAACAGTGCCTTTTATTCTTCGGTTTGAAAAGATAAATGTACTCAGAGCTGTAGAAGAGAATATTGCCGAAGAAACAATTCTGTTCATCTTTAGTAGTTTCCTTAAGTACACTTCTTCTGTGCCAATTTGCATATTTTTTAAATAATGAGCTAAGTGCAGACATTTCGACAAGAAATTTAGCTCGTACAGAAAGTACTGCAAAAGTGAAATGTCCATTGGAAATATCTGCACAACATACTGGGAGCCGTGGGTTGCTAATTTCATGCATTTATGTCAGCAGTGAAATTGTTTAGTAATTCAGTTTACTTCTAATATTTCATATTGCAGGGGAAATCTCAAGATGGCAAATTAGATGCTTTACATGCATTCAGAAAAGAACGGAATTTTGATGAGTCCAGTGGAAGATTTGAAAAAGACAAGCATGTTACTGAATGGACAGTGTCAGCTGGATTTACTTCCTTTGAGGGGAAAGGAGAAGCTGGTGATGAGGTAAGTGTCTGCATATACAGTTAGGTCCATATATACAGTGGATATATACAGTTGGTATTGACCAACACATATTCAAGCTATAGTTATATAATGGGTATGGGCTGAAAGTGCACACTCTCAGGTTTAATTTGAGGGTATGTACATCCAAATTGGAGGAAGGGTTTAGGAATTACAGCTCTTAAGAGTAGCCATCCCCCCTTTTTCAAGGGACCAAAAATAATTTGACAGTTGAATCAAAAGCTGTTTCATGGCCAGGTGTGTGGGCCACTCCTTCATTATTTCTTCATCAATTAAGCAGGTAAAAGGTCTTGAGTTGATTCTAAGTGTGGTACTTGCATTTAGAATCTATTGCCGTGAACCTACATCATGCGTTCAAAGGAGCTGTCCATGCAAGTGAAACAGGCCATTGTAAGGCTTCAAAAACAAAACAAATCCATCAGAGATATAGCATCAACATTAGGAGTGGCCAAATCAACAGTTTGGTACAGACCTCAGGCAGTCATTGCCAGTAAAGGTTTCTCAACAAAATATTAAAATTTAACATTTTATTTATGATTATTTTCAATTGTCCAATTACTTTTGATCCCTTGAAAGGGGGATGGCTACTCTTAAGAGCTGTAATTCCTAAACCCTTCCTCCAGTTTGGATGTACATACCCTCAAATTAAACCTGAGAGTGTGCACTTTCAGCCCATATCCATTATATAACTATAGCTTGAATATGTTTTGGTAAATACCTGAAAAAAAATCTAAAATTGTACCTGAAAAAAAAATCTAAAATTGTGCCTGTGTCCAAATATATATGGACCTAACTGTATTGTTAGAGAGGAATCAATTCAAACATAGGGAAACATAGGCGTAAAAGTGGTCAAATTTTAGTTTTTCGTTCTGGGCAGAATGGGGCTTTACTTTTCAGATTCCATACATCAGTTCCATGGCATGTTGTATTGTCCGTAAAAATACTAAACAATGTCTGTACAAATATTAAAGGATAGCTAAATTTTAAATAACATTTTTAAATCCAGAACATGAAGTATACATATTTTTTCGGCTTTCTCATGTCATGTGAATGACTAGCAGCTTTAAAAAAAAAAATTGGCATTAAGAGATTATTTCTTTAATACTACAGACAACTGAGAAACCATTCCTTAGTTTTAGAACACAGGACTTTGTCATTCACTTGTCCATGGCAGATTACCCGTGCTCTGTTATGCAGATCAAATCTGCCAATACGGTACCAATACCACTTTCTGCTTGTGAGACCATGTTGAATTTAAAGTGTTACTAAACATACAACAGTAAAAACAGTCTGTATATGCAGTAAAGCATGTTTGCTATACTCACTGTGGTACCTAAGGGGTAAATCCTTTGCAGTGTGTAAAAACACTGTTTGATCCCGACTTCTATGATCCTCCCCTTCTTCCAGTGTCCCCCTCTTAACTCCTGATAAGACATATTGTGTGGAGCCACTCTGCACATGCTCAGTTTGGTGTGTGTAGCTAAAGAGTTTTTTTTACATGGAAGAGTGCATACATATCTTCATATACAGTTTGTATATTTGCCATATATATACTTTTTCCTTCTCCTATTAAAACATGATCCCTTTTGCAAAAAAAAAAAAAATCCTCCTATATTACTATTTGATTGTGTACAAATATTTACAAAGCAGTGATAATTTGTACAAAATATTCACAAGCTCGATTTCAAATTTCTCTAGGGTTTTAGCTCAGAAGCGAGAAAATTGTGTTATCCGGACACTTCTGGGTCATTGCTGCATGGTTGCTTTAATGAAGAGGAATCTGCAAAATATTTTAATGAAGCTTTATTGGAATGGAGAAATCAAAATCATTCCAAATCACAATCTCTTGATACCACTGAAAAAGGCACAGGTAAGCCTCATTTACACAGAGCATATCCTTATTCTTATAGATATACATATCCATATCCTTATAGATATACAAATTTGCTTTCTCTATGTATTTCCATGTTTTTACTCTTTAAACAGTGAAATTTATTTTGTATTTATCTTTATTTTTTTCACTGATTGTGAGGTTTAAATACATTTCAAGTCGTTGTAAAGGCTGAAGGTTTTTTTTTCCTTCAAGCATTCTATGCATGAAGGTAAAAAACACTTTGTGTACAGCAGTGTCCCCAGCCCCCTCAATACTTAGCTGAGCCTCATTGAGATCCAGCGATGTGCATGACACCCTCATCTGTCCTGGGTCTCTGTCTCCTCACTGGCTGAGACAGCAAGTGGGAGCCATTGACTCCCACTGCTGTCAATCACAGCAGTCAGTCAGCTAATGAGGAGAGAAAGGGGGTGGGGACATGCCACGGCTCTGTGTGTAAATGGACACACGGAGCAGCGGTGTCCCCCATAGCAAGCTGCTTGCTGTGGGAGCACCCAACATGAGGGAGGAGCCAGGAGAGCCTGCAGGGGACCCGAGTATAGGAGGATCCAGGCTGCTCAACAAAACCACTGCACGCAGCAGGTAAGTATACACGTTTGTTATTTTCCAAAAATAAAAAATGAACCTTTGGAGTCGCTTTAAGATCCCCATTTCGGTATATAATTGCCAATTTGTCAAATGCTTAAAGAGACTGTCATAAAAAAAAAATTGTTATAGGTATAAATTAAAGGCACCTACTGTGTATATGAATAACATATATTGTATATATTCCTGTATATACAGTACCGACAGCAACCTTTGATAACCTGCCATTCCTGCTGAGTCCTGGGCTACTCAGACACTTCCAGGTAGTTTTGGAGCCTGCTGCTACCTCTTACCCTCTACACATTCCTATCAGCCCATGACAACAGGAGTCTTAAAGCCTACGTTTAGACAAAACATAGAAAAAAATTAGCACAAGGGACAATACTTACAATTAATGTGCCCCTTGGATTGCTGTCTAAGGATTTAGCTGAAATGATTGGTCCTCTGATCCCCCTATATCCAGGCAGTGGTAATCTTCCAGTGGGGGTTAATACAAGCTGAGGGGTCTGTCACAGGTACTCATCACGAGTGACTACTACTGTATGCCCTCCCTTTCCACTCACCTCCTCCATTCATAGAAACCATACTATATTACAGGTGAAACTCGAAACATTTGAATTTCGTGCAAACGTTCATTTATTTCAGTAATGCAACTTAACCAATTCAATATCGGGCACTTTTACACTTTCCTGCCCAGGCCATTTTTCAGGTTTCAGTGCTCTCACACTTTGAATGACAATTGCGCGGTCATACAACATTGTACCCAAACTAAATTTTATCATTTTCTTCACACAACTAGAGCTTTCTTTTGGTGGTATTTAATCACCGCTGGGGTTTTATTTTTTGCTAAATTAACAAAAAAAGACCAAAAATTTTGAAATAAACACACATTTTTCTTTGTTTCTGTTATAAAAGTTTGCAAATAAATAAATGTTCTTCATAAACTTAGGCCAAGATGTATTCTGCTACATGTCTTTGGTGAAAATAACCCAAATTAGGATGTATTTTTTAGTTTGTAGGAAAGTTATAGAGTTCACAAACTATGGTATAGATCTGAATATTGATCAATCCTGAAGTACTGACAGCCAATCTAATTTCTTGAGGTCCAAGAATGTCAGAACAGTACAGATATCCCCCAAATGATCCCTTTTTGCAAAGTAGACAGTCCGACGTACTTCATAAGAGGAATGGCGAGTTTTTTTAAGTTGTATTTTTTTTGTCATAATTTTTCAGAAAATGAAAAAATTTAAAAAAAATTAGTTTCACTATTTTATTTTTACATATTGTCACCAGTGCAGTACAGCGTCATCATATAACTGGCATGGCGGTGATCAGGGACACTGACTGGTGACAGTATGAAAAAAAAAAATATATATATTTTTTTTTTATTACATTTTTTTTCTTTTTTTTAAGATTTTTTTTTCATATTTCACCATATGCTATTACCATAGTAACATTGTACTACTTTGGGGAAGTGATCAGTATTTTTTTTTTTTTTTTACACAATTTGCTTATAGCAAATAATTACTTTGCTATAAGCAAGCATTTACCTGAATGACATCGATTCATTCAGGGTTTTTTTTTTTTTTTTTTTTTTGTGCTTAGCTGTGATTTGGCCACAGCTAATCACGTGACATGTGCATGTGATTAGCTGTGACCATTCACAGGCAGACACTAGTATACAATGGATGGCATGAATGAAGCCATCCATTGTATACAACTGTCATGTGACCTGTTGTGATTGGTCACAGCAGGTCACATGGTACCGGCAATGGGGGACGGTACTCAGATCTGTCATCGGCCGTGTCCGAGGTACATGGCTGGTGACAGATCGCGCCGCTGCGTGGCTCTGCAGGAGCGCAATCTGCGCATGTGCGGGAGGACGCCATATGGCGTCCACCCGGAACGCTCATGACATTTGCCGTCCACCATTCGGCCGTAGGGCGGGGGCGGCAAATGGTTAAAAGGGGAAACTAATATATGAGATAGACTCATTACATGCAAAGCAAGATAGTTCAAGCCGTGATTTGTCATAATTGTGATGATTATTGCTTACAGCTCATGAAAACCCCAAATCCACAATCTCAGAAAATTAGAATATTGTGAAAAGGTGCAATATTCTAGACTCAATGTGTCCCACTCTAATCAGCTAATTAAGCCATAACACCTGCAAAGGGTTCCTGAGCCTTTAAATGGTCTCTCAGTCTGGTTCAGTATGAATCACAATCATGGGAAAGACTGCTGACCTGACAGTTGTGTAGAAAACTATCATTGACACCCTCCATAAGGAGGGAAAGCCTCAAAAGGTAATTGCAAAAGAAGTTGGATGTTCCCAAAGTGCTGTATCAAAGCACATTAATAGAAAGTTATGTGGAAGGGAAAAGTGTGGAAGAAAAAGGTGCACAAGCAGCAGGGATGACCA